TCTAGCCTTTTTTGAGGTATGGGACGCTGCACCATCTTGCTGAAACACAAACTCTTGGCCGGATATGAAACATTCTTCCATCACTGGTAAAACCGATTCTTCTAAAATTGCCAAATATTTGTTTGTATCCAGATTTCCGTCAATAAAATGAAGTTTTCCTGCTCCTTTTAATAACATACTGCCCCAGACCATAATGGACGCTGGAAATTTCACTTTTCTCTTCAGACAGTCAACATGGAATGCTTCATTTTTTTGCGAATAACTCTACTGCGACTGTCACCAACACAAACTTCGAATCGGGCCTCATCACTCCATTGTATTGCACACCATTGTTGAGGTGTCCATTGTCTATGTTCTTTAGCCCATCAAAGCTGATTTTACATTTGCAGTGGAGTTAATAGTGGCTTTTCTTTGGCCTATAAACAAGTTGTGTAACTTTAGGGTTTTTACTTCACTTTTTTATAAGAAAACTTACCTTGCAAGTGCTAAATCCCAGTTTGTGGGCCTCTCTATGAGTTTTGGACCTCGAAATTCTCCTTCCGACAGCGTCACTCCACAGAGCACTTAATTGTAAATAATTGGCACGCCTGTTTTTCACGATTATTCTCCTTAATGCTCTTCGGTCGGCATTTGTGATATTACTTTTTTTCACATATCGTGGCTTAATATTAACTGACCCAGTTACGTTATATCTTCTAACAATATTTCTCACACTGTACCGCGATAAGTCTAACAAAGTTGCAATTGCTGAGTTTGATTTCCCAGAATTAAAAAATTTAATTATCAGTAACCGAATTTTCTCACTAATAACCTTTCCTCTACCCATTTTGAAAACCTTAACTACCCAAAACTATTTTAAACGTATTCTGACAGCTGTGATTAATAAAAACAATTGTCATGGCTTTTTTTTTCACAGCCACCTATGCGTTATAGACTTATTTTGTATTGAAATGAAAATAGGTTGATATGCTGTTATTGCAACATGTGTTATTTTTATGCTGCAAATTTGATTAGGGAGTGATGAAGTTGGTGTTTTCTACTATATATTATCAAAATATTCATTGTTAATATTTTAAACCTATAACACCCTGCTACATTTTTATTATTTGTGTTTGATAAGAAAAAAAGTAAGATTTCAATAGTTGGGCCAACTGAAGTGGGAAGGGGCTCACATTAACCAGCTACAAAGGGTATAAAATTTAAGTTTAAAAATCCGAAAAATCTGGTATTGGTGCTAACGACGTTTATCAGCCAATATTGTTCGCATATGAGTCTTTAATACAGGCGTAACTAAAATATGCCTCTGTGCAGAGTAATAAGCTTGTCGCGACATTTAATTCTGCGCCCATCGTCATCGAGCACGAGAACTATATTGAGAATCTTGCGAGTGTGGAGTTCTCGTCGAGATTTTCGCTGAGATTCTTGCCGAGATTATCGGCGAGATTCTCGCGTGAGTGTGGAGCGGCTTTTAGGGCTCATACAAGAGATTTGGAAGAACATCTCTAAACGCGGATTGGCTTCAGCTGTGGATGACTTGATAAAGAAGTTTTTCGAAAAAGATAGTGTCAAGTAGATTGACTGTGTGCCTCCTACGCATTCACATGTGACTGTTATCAAATCTTTATACGTACAAAATGAAAATATTTGACATACAAACGCTGTTTGGGTATAATTAATTTTTATATGTAAATGAAAAATGAGCCTTACTTGAGCTACATAGTACGGTCTTGACTACCCTCTAGCCCGAGGCAATCAGAAAACACGAAAACATATTTTAGAAGTTCCAAATTGGACTATTTCCAGAAGTCCTTCAATTATGCAAGAAAGTTTTCAGAGGGTTGTAAAGCAAACTAAAATGTAGTTTGGCAACGATCTGTAGCTTATGCTCATAATACCTCTGCCAATTAAATGACTTTAATAAAGTAAAGTAGCGTTACTACCCAAACTTCACCCAAATCGGTGCAGTCGTTTTCCAGATCACGAGACTTAAATAATGACAACACGCAAGCCGACGGAAACAAGTGACCTACATGTTGTGGATATCGCAAAATTCGTCATTGGGAATCAAGAGATCAGAAAAGAGTATATTTGCTATTTGCCCATCTTGGAGCTTAAATAGTAAGAAATCAATACTTCTACTTCTACTATTCAATCGAAACTGTTGGCAGGAATGAAAAAACTCTCTCTTACGAGACCTACCTACCCACACCTAAAATGCGACTAATAGCAAAGAAGTTATGACCGAAAACCTCGGAAAATGCAGGTTTGGGCACTTAAAGATACTTAAAATCCTTCATATCATCACCACTATACTTGGCACCGACAAATGTCAAGCTAAGGTTGGCAGCACATCAAATCTGTTATAAAAAACTAGAATAATCTCGAAAACGCGGCTTCTGATTCTTTGTTATCGAATAAAAAGTTTACCCACCAAAATCTTATGCGTCTATGTTTTAAATACTCTCTTAAACAACCTGCATCGATAAAACTAAACTTTACAATTATTTCGCAAACCGGAGGTATTTTCGTCTAGTCTAGTATGATTAGACAACTATGCATTCAGATTATTCAACGGAAACGTGGGAAGGCTGCTTATAAGCTCACTAGTAATGGATCGTCTCACGGATGACAATGGGTTTTTGTGTACACAATTTTACACCAATTATGGTTTCGATAACACGGCAGTCAAAGCTAAAAATTCTGTATCGGAGATATTGCGATTATAAAATTTTCTATCAGAAGACAAATAGTTTTCTAAATACATTTTTCAAAATAATTACTATGATTCACCCTGTACGAAGAGATATCTATCTTAAGTTCTCCCATTAGCTAATTCCCCATTTCTCGATAAACAGCAAGCACCCAGTAAAATATACAGGGTGGTGCATCGAAAACGAAACAGACGCATTTACTGGCAGCTCAGTTTTTTTGGAGAAACGCTCAGACCCGCCGATTTTGTTTTCGAGGGGGGCATAAGTTTGGCAAAAAATCACGTTAACACGTGCAGCCCCCTGGGTGGGGGTGACACCAACCCTAAAATCTTGAACGGAAAGGGGGTCGAGTGATACCTTATTTTAAAGGCCTTTCAATTCCCTTTATATTTATATAAAATACATGAGCTTCAGTTCAGTAGTTTTGAAGATTTATCGATTTGAAGCTTAAGGTAGACTTTAATAGGTACATCAGATTAGTTTGTACTACTTTCAGAAGAAATTTGACTAAAAGAAATTACTTAATAAGTAAATGCTTTTCTTTACTACGCCCATGGTATGTTTATCATTTTGTTGTTGAAAATAGCTATTGGAGCGTTTTTTGTGGCAATAAACTTATTTCTTGAAGAAAGATAAGGAAATATCTCGTACTTATTTTAAATAGGAATTTAATACGTAGCTTGCGATGGATTCGACTAAACTTTGTTGCTAAACTAACTTGTAACGCTTTATTACATAAACTAACCATGGTATATTCCACAGCAGAAAGAGTTGAAATTATCGAAATATTTTTCGGAAGTGATCAGTGTGCTAATAGAACAGCAGAAATATTTAATGAGCGACATGCGAACAGTAACGTGCATTGAAAATATGTTCTAGAACTTGTAGCTGAATTTCGAGAAACTGGGTCAGTCGCCAATAAAAAACGCAACATTGAAAATCCCATAAGGAACGAGGCAATAGAAGTGGGGGTTTTAGGGCAAGTTTATGTAGATCCAACATTAAGTACCCGCAAATTGGAGACTGTGTGTGGTGTTAGTCGACATACTGTCCAACGGATTCTAAAGGCCCATAGTTTTCATCCATATAAAATTCACCTGGTACAAGAACTTAGTGAAGACGATTTTGATCGGCGATTACAATTTTGTGAAGATATGAGTGAACGAATTCTAAACGATGAACATTTTCTATTCAACACTTGTTTTTCCGACGAATGTTCCTTTTTCTTAAATGGCGTAGTAAATCGTCATAACTGCCGATATTGGTCCGATTCTAATCCCAGAATTTATCATGAGGTTCATACACAGCAGCCAACAAAAATTAAATGCTTGGGCTGGTATTTTTGGCGATCATTTAGTTGGTCCTTTTCTTCTTATCTGTAAATTTGACCGGTGAAATGTAATTGGAATTACTGGAAGACGCCATAGATTCTGCATTAACAGCCATAATTGAAAATCAGAATGATCGGCGGTACATTGCGAATAGGTTGATATTCCAACAGGATGGTGCCCCACCACATTACGCATTACGTGTTCGACAATATTTAGATCAGACGTTTCCAGATCGATGGATTGGTAGAAGAGGTGCCATTGTATGGCCCCCAAGATCGCCAGATTTCTCACCTTTGGATTTCTTTATGTGGGATCATTTAAAAAGCAAAATCTATGCTACTCAGTCAACATCATTAGAAGACGTGCGACAAAGAATTGTGAATGAGTGTCTTCAAATGACTCCTCAAATATTGCAAAATGTGCGACAACGTTTTGAGCAAAATCTTTATTAATGCATGGAGAGTCATGGTGGCCATTTTCAACATTTACTTGCCTAACGGGTCAGTTCATTCTTCATTTTTAAATTACTTTGCTGCCAAATGTATTGATCTCCACTAATGATGATGTATTTGTTTTATTTAAGCTTTAAATCGATAAATCTTCAAAACTACTGAACTGAAGTATATTAACTTTATATCATTATAAAGGGAACTGAAAGACCTTTAAAATCATTCGACCTCCCTTTCCACTTAAGATTTTGGGGGTGATGTCATTCTCGCTTAGGGGGCTGCACATGCTGACGTGTTTTTTTTGCCAAACTTGTGTCCCCCTCGAAAACAAAATCGACGGGACTGAGCGTTTTTAAAAAAAAAAACTGAGCTGCCAGTAAATGCGTTTGTTTCGATTTCGATGCGCCACCCTGTATATTCCATTAATTGTTACATGCATCTCTGGCCGGGGCCAACAATACTTTCTTAAATTGTAAATATAGTATGTTGACATTCGTTTTTTCTTTCAGTATTACATGTGGGGCTGGTAGTACCATACAAATCTTTTGGTACCAGGGAATACAACAAGCAAGCAACGCTTGCAAAGCACATCGTCCAGAGGAAGCTGAACAGGTTCAGGCAGTACGACGTTCAAACACATATCGTCATGAAGGAAATGACACCAAGTCCAACTGGTGAGTTACTTGTTATACAAATAAACATTGGCATACGAGTATATACAATAACAAAGAAAATAAAATACCTAGTTAAAATGATTTATTTAAACGAAATTTTATATACAGTTTGACATAAAGAAATTCATGATACTTTTGTCCAGTCATCGGAGCATGCTTCTGAGGAGGCAACGTGTATTTCATCCAAAGTTAGATGTACTTGGATCCAAGGATCTACTAGCGTTTGTGGAGGATGAGGTCAAGAGATCACTCTTCTTTTTATCTTATCCCACAAATGTTTGGAGATCTAGGGTTCCGCGTTATTGAGATAACCCATTGAAGCATTATTATAAATTGGGGATATAGCAAATGTTCACGACTTTCTCTTGTGTTTGCCTAACTGTATATAAAATTTCATTCTGATAAAATCAATTTTACTTGGCTTTCTATTCCCTTTGTAACCGAGTATATGTGGAGTTTACTTCCAATTGAATCGAGAAAATAAAATGGTATTATCATTTTACAATAGTGTTAACGACATTGTTTTCAAAGTTTCGATTCATTTTGAACTCAGTGACGGTGAGTACAGTGGTATAGTAACGGTGGGTACCAATAATAAAGTTTAAGATTATTATTATTGACTGGAAAAAAAATATGTAAAATGTAATAACCTTTTCACGTTTCATAAATCAACCACTGCAAAAATTCTTGCTTTTTACTTACTATATGGTATCGATGGCGGAAGGATATGGTATCTCAGTCATGAAACTATAAGCAACCAGTAAATCTTCTACGTCATATAGTAAGTATAATAGTGGCGAAAACTACATTAAATTGAGTTTGATGCAAAACATCACGGAAAGCCTAACTTACTGTTAGACCTACTGTCTGACATACTACGATTTTCGCGGCATAGCTTGAGATTACGGTAATTGATAGCGAAAACGTTTCAAGTATTATCTGTATGAAAAGAGCAGTTTTCAAAGCGAACTAGAATGAAATCAAGAACCAAAATAACTGTGACACATGCAAAGAAAAGAAATGCAGTTGCTGAACCGTTAAATTCAGGCAAGTTTTGTTCATAAATAGTGATGAATTCTTTTCACACAACAAAAAGGTTCAAAGATAGCATCTTCTTTCACACTTTCGCTAGGTTTGTATACTAAGTGACATATAAATCCGAACACCCAGTTTAAATGGTTTTATTTTAATAGAAGTTAGTGAATGTATTTATCTTACTGTAAATAACAAGTGTACAAATGTTCAGCCTTATCAGTTGGACATTCCGGTTTTTATACTGCTTTTTTTTTAATTCACTAACGCTATAAATCTGAATATTTCAGCCGCAGTAAAGAATCAACGTTGACGGATTTTGGTTCTTGACATCCTTTACGATCGGTTACGATGCCTAAAGTACGGAGACCTGTACGATATCGTCAACTTAGTGAGTTTGATAGGGGCCGTATAGTAGGACTTCGGGAAGCTGGACTTTCTTTTCGGGCAATTGCAGTTAGAGTGCAAAGACGTGTAGACACTGTGGTTAGGTGTTGTCAGGCATGGCTTCGAGAAGGTCGTACGCAAAGAGCAAGGGGCACTGGACGCCGCCGTAGAACAACAGATCGTGAAGATCGCCGCCAAAGATTATTGACCTTAAGGGACCGTTTCTCCACTACCAGGTCCATTGCAAATGAATGGTTTGCAGAACACGGAAGACCTATTGGCATGCGAAGTGTTTACCGACGAATGAGAAGTTTTGGCTTGTTTTCATACCGGCCACACTGGGTCCTCCCTTCAACTCGAGAACACCGACGTAATCGCCTTGAGTGGTACAGACAACGGTCACTCTGGGATCAGGAATGGAACAGTATTGTCTTTAGTGACGAGTCTCGATTTTGTTTAGGCAAGCACGATGGTCGTGCCAGGGTTAGAAGGCGACGTGGTGAAAGGAGGAATCCACAGTTTTTTGTTGAAAGACATGTTCATCACACTGTTGGAGTTATGGTTTGGGGTGCTATAGCTTGTGGTTCCAGGTCACCTTTAATCTACATCACGAAGTTCTAGAACCCCATCTTTTACCCTATCTTGACACCCTGGCAGATCCAACTTTCCAACAAGATAATGCCCGACCACATGTTGCAAGAGTCACAATAGACTTCTTTCAACATAATGATGTCACATTGTTACCATGGCCACCAAGATTTCCCGACTTATCCCCAATTGAGCACGTGTGGGATATGATGGGTAGGAGATTGCTCAATTTGCAACGTCCTCCTCAGACTCTAGAAGCACTTCGAGAGGAGTTGATGGTTGCCTGGAATGAGATACCACAGGAGGACATTGACCACCTGATCAGAAGCATGCCTAGGCGCGTTAGAGAATGCGTAGCACATCAGGGTGCATCCACACATTATTAAAAGTCAAAGGGCTTTAAAGCAGTGCAATCATTTTGAAATTTTTATCATTTACTTATTATGCTTCATTAAGTACTTATACAAAATTTTATTAAAATAAAACCATGGTCGGATTTATATGTCACTTAGTATATTTCAATACCATTTATAACCTTCTATACACAAGAATTACTGCAATGCGCAACATATTTTTGATCAGATCGTCATTTTTCTGACAATGTAATTCATCAGAAAATCTTCTAATGCCTGTATCTCAGTTTACCCAAAACTGAGTTACAATAGTCTGCCTTGCAGTGGTCGAAATATTCCTGTCTGTATCATATTTCTCACCTGTTTGTTGTAACCAACCAGAGCTTGTCTTTTCTTATCTGTCTCATTTTTGTAATTCCGCAAATTTTCAATGTAATTTCCAGGACGAATAAGAAAAAGTGGATGCGCGAATAATTTCTAGCTTTGCATACATCTCCAGTGAGTGTATTTGAAACAAGAAACCAATGGAATTATCATCAATACAGATTACTAGCACACAAATCATCACCATGCGCCTATACACTGCCGTTTCCTTCCAGCTGTAGTAAACAACTTACAGCTCAGACCTCTAATAATGCCATATTTTAAGCAGATGTTACATCACATCAGAGCCAAACATTGGTAGCTGAAGTGTCGTGATGTTTAGGCAAGACGTACAGCTAGAGAACGAGTGTACATCAAGTGAACAATGGCTAGTTCTAAGTTGACGTCTTATAGAAAAACGTACGTAATGTCACAAAAAACTATATCATGTTAAAAAAACCTACAAAATGTCACGTGTCAATGCTCTTGCCACTCAGGTGAAATTTTCTCATTTGACAGCAGATGCCACTTTCAGAGACAAACATAACAGCATACTCTCTTATGTTAATAAGCCATCTAAGTTAAGCTTACCTAAAACCGACCCCGGAATACAAAGTGCTAATGGTGGAATAACAGATCTCTATCTCAATCTTTTTTATTGTTCAACTCCCATTGAAATCTGACACGTTTTGCACACCAACTACAAATGAAAGTTGTATTGATATTTGCTTCAATATTCTTATCTGTAAACCACCGAGGACGTAGCTAAAGATCTGTTATAAAATGTTTATCCAGCATAGTAATCGAGAGATGAACATCATAAATCTACTAGGCAGTATTATAATACTTTATCTAACCAGATCAGTAACATTTCTTATTTGGGAGTATTTATTTCAAGGCCATTCAACCCAGAAACTATAGTAGATCCATAAAATGGCCAAGTTTATCGTGCGAACTTTTATGCTTCTATGAATTATATCGCTTGTCAAATTTTCCCGATAATAAACTCGAACTCCGGAAGCCATATTTCTATTGCCAAATGGAAAACTTCTATCGTAGAGTGCGTTCGATACATGAAAGCTGTGAAACTCCATAAAGTACATTGTAAATTGCCTTACCGAAAAGACGTATCAAACTCATGAGCAATCAATGTAGTGCACCGGAAAAGTTTCAACTCGATGCATAGAAAACGAAACATCTACTAAAGTACGCGATAAAAGCTAGTTTAAATATTCTCAACCTTAGTTGTGCAGTGCCGTCCAACTGATACGAATTCAACTACTTTTAGTCCCTCATCATAATCGTGATGTGTCTTGTAACTAATTTGGTGGTTGGCCCGTACACGATTTTTTCTACAATGTGGCTAATAAATGAAATTAAGGATGATCAAGTCACGTTAGTGGCTTTTTGATTTCACTGGCAGCTCTCGTCGAGTAACAGAATATTTTTAAACTGAAAGCTACGTTTCAACATTTTGCAGTACTTTTTGTCAAGCTGCGAAGGATGGGTGTGGCCCAAAGCCTCTCATAATGTCTCACAAATCGTTCACCTTTTTTAGCCATGTGCAATCATTAGACTTACACATTGAATATTCAGGATGATAGATACTTGGATGTATTCTTACTGAAGCCGCCACTGAGGCACAACCTATACTAAGTGACATATAAATCCGAACACCCAGTTTAAATGGTTTTATTTTAATAAAATTTTGTATAAGTACTTAATGAAGCATAATAAGTAAATGATAAAAATTTCTAAATGATTGCACTGCTTTAAAGCCCTTTGACCTTTAATAATGTGTGGATGCACCCTGATGTGCTACGCATTCTCCAACGCGCCTAGGCATGCCTCTGATCAGGTGGTCAATGTCCCCCTGTGGTATCTCATTCCAGGTAATCGCCAACTCCTCTCGAAGTGCTTCTAGAGTCTGAGGAGGACGTTGCAAATTGAGCAATCTCCTACCCATCATATCCCACACGTGCTCAATTGGGGATAAGTCAGGAGATCTTGGTGGCCATGGTAACAAAGTGACATCATTATGTTGAAAGAAGTCTATTGTGACTCTTGCAACATGTGGTCGGGCATTATCTTGTTGGAAAGTTGGATCTGCCAGGGTGTCAAGATAGGGTAAAAGATGGGGTTCTAGAACTTCGTGGATATAACGCTGCGCGTTCATGTTACCTCTGATGAAGATTAAAGGTGACCTGGAGCCATAAGCTATAGCACCCCAAACAGTCTGATGAACATGTCTTTCAACAAAAAACTGTGGATTCATCCTTTCACCATGTCGCCTTCTAACCCTGGCACGACCATCGTGCATGCCTAAACAAAATCGAGACTCGTCACTAAAGACAATACTGTTCCATTCCTGATCCCAGAGTGACCGTTGTCTGCACCACTCAAGGCGATTACGTCGGTGTTCTCGAGTTAAAGGGAGGACCCAGTGTGACCGGTATGAAAACAAGCCAAAACTTCTCATTCGTCGGTAAATACTTCGCATGCCAATAGGTCTTCCGTGTTCTGCAAACCATTCATTTGCAATAGACCTGGTAGTGGAGAAACGGTCCCTTAAGGCCAATAATCTTAGGCGGCGATCTTCACGGTCTGTTGTTCTACGGCGGCGTCCAGTGCCCCTTGCTCTTTGCGTACAGCCTTCTCGAAGCCATGCCTGACAACACCTAACCACAGTGTCTACACTTCTTTGCACTCTAACTGCAATTGCCCGAAAAGAAAGTCCAGCTTCCCGAAGTCCCACTATACGGCCCCTATCAAACTCACTAAGTTGACGAAATCGTACAGGTCTCCGTACTCTAGGCATCGTAACCGATCGTAAAGGATGTCAAGAACCAGAATCCGCCAACGTTGATTCTTTACTGCGGCTGAAATATTCATTTTTTGAGCGTTAGTGAATTAAAAAAAAGCAGTATAAAACCGGAATGTCCAACTGATAAGGCTGAAAATTTTTTTCACTTGTTATTTACCGTAAGATAAATACATGCACCAACTTTTATTGAAATAAAACCATTTATACTGGGTGTTCGGATTTATATGTCATTTAGTATATTAGGGTACCATAATTCTTATGAAGAAGCTCCCATATTTCCTCTGCTCAAGATTAGTTGTTTGTGACAAAACAATATCCTCATTGATTTTAAATATTGCTAACCTTTGCAATAAAATTACGTTTTTATGTCCTATTTCAATACCAGTACTGTCGATTTGCACTGCAGCCCATATCCAAAACAAATGACAGAACCCTAAAACTCGGTTCCATGAACTGAAAATTGATCAGTGGATTCTTTGGGTCAGATTACGAAGACTGCTAAATTTTCAATGTGATGCAATCACTGTATCAGAATTGGTACTATAATTCAAAAAACACTAATGAGAGAAGGCTTTTCCGCACGGCGAGCGCCAAAGTTACCTCTCCGCAAGGCATGTCGAAAAGTAAAAATGTCAACGGGTGTTAAATTACTTACAATACATCATTGTCAACATATAAGTGAAACGCATCTGTCATATTCTGAATTCTGATTAAATTTGATACTTGGTTGAATTGTTACATAAATTAATTGTTTTTCTTGTAACGCGCTGATAGGAAAAATATTGTTCCTCACTTTTGGGGCAAGTACTAACCATTAGGAGAAAATGTAGTCAGTCCTCAACCTTTTGCTCAGGGTAATGTTTGGGAAACATCCCGTATATACATGCATCTAAACGTTGTAAATGACAAATGTAAACTTTTCAGGTGAACCATTTCAATTTTTTAGCAACTTCGGGCGAACTTGTCAACATTTATTACAGTATTATGGCTTATTAGTGGTCGAGAACTATCGATAGTGGAGACTATCGATAGTTATCGATAGTTAAATCGTAAATTATCGATAGTTTCCGATAGTATTTCCGGAATGAAACAATTTGAATATTAGGTTAAAAAAATAAGGACTGTACGATTTATTATACATCCTTTACCTTCTGCCATCTACAAACTGTTATTTTTATGCAAAAATACTAATTTATCGACATTGGCTGGTTTTAGTCTGGATCTCCTATCCAATATGACTTGCCCTGCAGCACTAAAGCTTCTCTCGCTCTCTACTGAGGTCGCTGGAACACATAGATATTTAATGGCACATTCGTCCATAGTGGGTAACTCCTTGCCGCTTATCTAAAAAAATACTTTTGTTGCCACTTATTTTGTATTCTTTTCCACATTTAATACATTTACCTAATTTTCGATCGCCAGATCTTTGAAATAGTCCCATACAGCTGACACACGCTTTCTTTTCGTTTTAGAAGTTGTTTGTTCTCTGGAAGTCTTCACATTCACAGAAACTTCATCTTCACCTTGGGGATCTTCGGATTCAGACCTTTCTTTTGAGGTACTCAGTTGGGGTTCAGCATTATTCTGATTGTTACCTTAAAATGACAGTCCTATTTACAAAATATTTCTACTAAACACAAGAATAATGATACTTCTCACCTCTGTTTAACAAGAATCTTTCCATTGTTACAAATATTTAAAAAACATGTATTGTACTATATACTAAATTGTGTTTGTTTGAAAATGGCGCCAAAAAATATTTAACACCACGAACCACGACCACGTTCTTTTTAACTTTTCCTCTTATTTTACTACACGTTACCCGGTTTTTATTACGTTTTTCTTTTATATCAACCATAAAATAGGGTTATGGTTAGGTTACTCTTCTGTATATGTTTGTGTTCAATCTCGAATGGCTAGAGCTATCGAATACTATCGATAGTTCATGAAAAATATCGATAGTATTCGATAGTCCAAACTATCGATAAGTATCGATAGTAGTATCGATAGTTCTCGATAATATAAGGCTACCCATTAAAGAAGGTAATATTTCACATATGTGAAGAAAAACATAGAAGCAAAAAATAGGTAATGGAAATGTGGGGAACATTTCCTTTTTACTGTACTATCATGGTAAGTTACGGGTAGAGGAACTGGTCCAAATATGGAACATGCACAGAATATGGGCCCCCATTTGTTTGCCGAAACAAGTGGCTCCATCTATTAACTAGATCTCTGACTACCTTCTATTTTCCTTATAAAGCATTCTAGAACACACTATCAGTTAACCGGTGTTTGCCGCGCAGAAATTTAGAATAGGTTAGGTTTATATCTATCCGAAAATTTCAATCGTAAGTATAATGTTGATTGTTTTGTTAGGTGTTATACATATTTTCTGATGAGTGCTTATTGTGTAATGTTACTTAAAGCTTGAGTATATCATTCCTGAAGAACTCCATTGATATTGTAAGGCTTGGATAATGATTTTGACTAAGTAAACATCCCACATGTGATTCGTGAAATATGGGCCCCTATGATCCTTGAAATATGGTCAGGGGCCCGTATTGGGACCACAGTTCAGTAATGCATTTTTGTTTGCAGAATCATGGGGAATGAGAGGAAATATCTTAAGAAGAATCAGAGAAAGCTGTGGAAAAAGGAAGATATGATATCAGCATTAGAAGCTGTTTTAGATAAAACAAAGCGACTGAAAAAGGCGGCTAAACAGTTCAATGTTCCCAGGACCACCCTCCAAAGACTATTGCACCAATGCAAAGATGGTATCGAACCTGTTGAAGCTGTAAATAGAAAATTAGGAAGAAAACCAGTGTTAGGAGGTAGTATAGAGACTGAATTAGTAAAATATATTTTGGAAATGGAGAGGTTGTATTATGGACTGACCAAGAAGGATATTTGTAGTATGGCATACAATCTAGCTGACAGAAATGGTATTCGGCATCCTTTTAAAAATTACACCGCAGGGCGGAGCTGGATTGATTCATTTTTGAAACGACACGGGGCAGCTTTGTCAGTTCGCAGACCAACTGGAACTTCGTTTGCTAGAGCACTTGGGTTTAATAAAGAAAACGTGCAAGATTTTTTCAGGAACCTGGAAATAGAATATTCAAATCATAACTTTGGACCGCATAAAATATTCAACGTAGATGAGACTGGTCTTACCGTGGTTCAAAGCAAGATTCCAAAGATTGTGGGACGGAAGGGCAAGAGGCAAATAGCCGCATTCACGTCTGCAGAGCGCGGCTCTCTCGTCACAGTAATTAGCGCTATGTCTGCTGGAGGTCAGTTTGTTCCTCCCATGTTAATCTTTCCTAGGAAAAACAGGAATGAACAACTTATGCGTGGGACTCCAGCTGGATCTATCTATGCAGTACATCCTAGCGGGTGGGTTCAGCTAAATCTTTTTACTGAATGGTTCCAGCATTTTCTGGCATTTGTTAAGCCCAGTAAGAATTTCCCAGTTCTCCTTATAGTCGATGGACATTATAGCCACACTCGCAACATAGACGTTATAAACTTGGCGAGGGAAAATCATGTTGTTATCATTTCTTTGCCGCCCCACTCTACCCACAAACTCCAACCTCTTGATAAAACTTTTATGGGGGTTTTAAAAACGTATTATAGTGAAGAAGTTCGTCTTTGGTTAAGAGCTAATCAACGACCATTAACGCAGTTTGATTTGGCAGAGCTACTTGGCAAAGCATATGTTAAAAGCCAAACAGCTGAAATTGCAATTAATGGTTATAGAGTCACTGGTATCTGGCCTTTTAAGAAGGATATATTTAATGATGCTGATTTTATTGAAGAAAAGGAAAACGCAGCAAAGAATTGCAGCTTAAGTTTTTGTGAAGCAGACGTTCAGGACAGTAACGTTGACTTATCAGCTGTACACTCCGACAAAGAACTTTCAACTAGAAGTTTGAATGTTTCTGACTCTCAACTAGGATGCTCAAGAGATACAGAACCAAAACCCGGATATTTGAACAGATTGAATCTCTCCATTAGATGTTCAAATGAACCTGCAACAAACAGAGACAGCTTTATTTCTCCATTTGATATAGCTCCACTGCCAGTCATTAAGAAACAAACAACCACGCGAGGCAGAAAGTCTGGAAAATCTCAAATTATAACTTCATCGCCATATAAACAAGAACTGGAGAAATCATGTGAAAAACAGAAAAAGGCTGTAGAAAAAGGAAAAGGACGTGTTTTTCCAGCTCCAACACAACCAAATAAAAAGACAAGGAAACAAGAAAGAAAGAGATCTGAGACCTCTGAGAGTGACTCAGAACCAGACGAAGACTTTATACCAGCTGATGACGATAATGATTTGGAAAATGTCGGTCAAATTCCCGAAGACAAAGATGCAGAGTGCATTTTCTGCCAGGGTGAATTTTCAAATGATGTTAGAGGGGAGCTGTGGATTCAATGCATGTTATGCCAATTATGGGCTCATGAGGCGTGCTCTGGTGCAGAAAAAGATTCTTACGTTTGCGACTTCTGCAAATAAATATTTTAATTATTGTATTCAGTGTATTTTAAGTTAATAAAATAATGAGCATATTTCAATATTACTATATGAATAATGTCAAACTCAAATAAATATGATATTTTTCAGATTCAATTAGTAGTTTCCTACGGGGCCCATATTGTACACAGTCTGGTTGATATAGCTGAAACTGCAATCTTTCGCGTTATCCATAATTAATGCTATCTATAATACCTTTACAGAAATAACAATTTAGTTTTATGTTATATTGAGATCAGTGAACATTACTATCAAAAAAGACCTAAATTGGTGGATTGCAGACAAAATTATTTGTTGAAATAAAAATGGGGTTCCATATTTAGACCAGTTCCTCTACATTTTACCAGAGTCTACCAGTATTGCATTATAATGTTGCGGTAGGGGAAATGGTGAAAGATTCGTCATGAATGAATACTAGGCAAAGCTTCTTTCAGAATCTTTTAAATAAAAACTGCCGATGTATAAAAAAGGAACAAGAAGTAATGTCCTCTGCACATTGCAGAAGTCTAAATCTATGTTTAGATGAAAACAAAATGAATAAATACAATAAAGTAACAAACATATGAGATGCCTCAAGGATGTATATATAAATATAAAAAAATAAAATAACGATTCTATTCAGAGACTTCGGGATCACTTAAAGCTGCTACACACAGTGCCGGCGGCAATGCCGCCGGGTTTATGCCGAGCGGCTATGCCGCCGGCAATACAAGCCGCCGGCACAAGCCGCCGGCACAAGCCGCGCAAAGCCGTCAAGCAACATTCCGGTTGTGACAGTCACATGGAAAGCTAGTGAAGTGCTGCATTTCTGGGATTCCATAATATATCATTTTCATGAAATTTTTCAATTAAGAGCAGCACAGCTTCGTCGTCCCAATTAAACGACATTTTAATTTGTTTAAACACACAAACCGCACAACACTACCGCTCGAATGTCAGGAACGAAGTGACGCCGGCAAGCCGCGTAACCCGCCGGCACACCACGGCGGCTCCTTTGCGCGGCAAGGCCGGCGGCTTTGTATGCCGCCGGGTGTAGGGCGAGTTGATATGTAAAAAATACTTGAATTCTAATAAACATACATCAGTGTTTACTTTTGTTTTTTCACTCAGTATATCTTTCTGCTGTAAGCATATTGTAAAGGCATATAGTCGAAATCAGGAAAGATGACGCTTACGTCATCATTCTAGTCTGTAATAAAGACAAACGTCAGCGATTTGTGAATATTTTTAATGAAGTTTCAGATATGTTAGACAGAGACAAGCATAATTTTATTGTCTAAACAAACTGTATTGCTAATATAGATGTATCCGACAAAGATAGACGATGTTTTCATGTTGCTTGATTGATCATATTTGAAAGATGAATAGTTAGGTTATGTTAAAGCAGGTTAGGTTGTTTTAGAATAATACTTTGGTCTTTGGTGTTTCTGTCTCAAGGTATTCTAATCATAACTGTTTTTTTCAAAACAAAAACTCCGCACTAAGATTATTATTACACAAAACCATGAAATATACTAAGTGACATATAAATCCGAACACCCAGTTTAAATGGTTTTATTTTAATAAAGGTTGGTGAATGTATTTATCTTACTGTAAATAACAAGTGAAAAAATTTTCAGCCTTATCAGTTGGACATTCCGGTTTTTATACTGCTTTTTTTTAATTCACTAACGCTCTAAAAATGAATATTTCAGCCGCAGTAAAGGATCAACGTTGGCGGATTTTGGTTCTTGACATCCTTTACAATCGGTTACGATGCCTAGAGTACGGAGACCTGTACGATTTCGTCAACTTAGTGAGTTTGATAGGCGCCGTATAGTGGGACTTCGGGAAGCTGGACTTTCTTTTCGGGCAATTGCAGTTATAGTGCAAAGAAGTGTAGACACTGTGGTTAGGTGTTGTCAGGCATGGCTTCGAGAAGGCCGTACGCAAAGAGCAAGGGGAACTGGACGCCGCCGTAGAACAACAGACCGTCAAGATCGCCGCCTAAGATTATTGGCCTTAAGGGACCGTTTCTCCACTACCAGGTCCATTGCAAATGAATGGTTTGCAGAACACGGAAGACCTATTGGCATGCGAAGTGTTTACCGACGAATGAGAAGTTTTGGCTTGTTTTCATACCGGCCACACTGGGTCCTCCCTTTAACTCGAGAACACCGACGTAATCGCCTTGAGTGGTGCAGACAACGGTCACTCTGGGATCAGGAATGGAACAGTATTGTCTTTAGTGACGAGTCTCGATTTTGTTTAGGCATGCACGATGGTCGTGCCAGGGTTAGAAGACGACGTGGTGAAAGGAGGAATCCACAGTTTTTTGTTGAAAGACATGTTCATCACACTGTTGGAGTTATGGTTTGGGGTGCTATAGCTTATGGTTCCAGGTCACCTTTAACCTTCATCAGAGGTAAGATGAACGGGCAGCGTTATAT